ACTATCACCCGTTGCTTTTTCTTAGTTGCAGTGGTTGTTATATAGGGAGCAGATCGGGCTGCCTTACTCAGCTCTAGCACCTCTCCTGGTATGACAGATCTTTCCTCTTCACTCTGCAGACCTGTGAAGCAGTTCTGCAAGGACACTTCTAGCTTCGGGGGAAATCTCTTCCTGCTGTTGGTCCTTGCCGTTGCAAGCTTCCATTCTTCTGCATTATTGCCCCCCGCCCCCCCCTCCTTCTTCTGTGTGTGCTCAAAGGGGAGGTTTTGGTTGTTGGGCCATGGTCTGTGGATCCCCTGCAGATTGCACTTGTAACCAGCTGTCTATCTCCTTCTCAGCCTCCCTGATCCTACACAGCCTCCTCACCACCTCCTGCAGCTCAGCCACCTGCTGCAGGAGGTCCTCCATGCGGGCACACCTTTTGCAGGCAGTTCTGCCACTTATCGCCAGGAGATAGGTGGAGGCACCTCCTGCAGTCTGAGGTCTGCACTGCAGCCTCTCTCTTCAGCAGCTCTGTCTGGGTGGAGGCATTGGCCACCGCTTGGGTAGATGATGCAGAGCCCCGAGCCCGAGCTGCAGCCTTTGCTCTCCAGTGAGTGCCCACCATTCTGCCTTGAGGGTAAGGTAGGACAAGTGCCCTTGGCCCGTGCAGATGGTCACAGAACAGTGCCTGCTGCTCAACCAGGGGAACACTCCTCCTTCGAAGAGATGCCCTTCTCACACACCCTGCCAGGTGAATTGCTGCCGCGCTAACGGCCGTGCCATGCCCTGGCTGCTGTGCCACACTCTGTTTGCCCACTCTGGTCGCTCGTGCTCCCTGGCCTGCTGCGGAGCAGCTCCCCTCAGTGCCTGACAGCTAGTTTCCATGGAACTAAGAAGAGACCAAATGTTGCCAGCTATTCTTCCATTGAAAAATACCCGACCCTAGTATTCAAGGATGCCAGTCTGTTCACTTCTGCAAGGCTGCTAATCAGCTTGTAACAGCCACCATCGCCACATTCCTGCCAGCAGTGAGCTATGCCAGGTGAGAACTCAGCCAAAGAGTCATTTTAAGAAAAAGTAGAAAACTCAAGGAGGAAATCACAGCCCATTGGCTTGATGCAGAAGGAATCTGATTGTCTGTTAAAAACCACTTTCCTTGTATGATTAATGACAGTAAGAGAAAAATCAGTGTTGGCAATCTGCACGTATATTGCAAGCAAAGACAGGAACTTTCTTCTTAATTTTCCTGTTCAAGAAAATGAAGGACTGCTGGTGAGACTCCAGACATAAGTCATAGGTCAGACTCCACCCCGCACAAAAGACAACTGCCTTAGACAGTTGATTTTGGAAGAGCAGAGCATTGGGGCCCTTTTCTTTTGCTTTCTGGGATTCAAGGTGTTAGGTGAGTTTGAGCCATTTTTTAGGCTCCTCTCTTCGATTCAGAGCAATGAACACCATTAAGCAGATTCCAGCCTAATGGAACCTGTAATTCCACATACCTATGCACACTCAAAAAGCCTTTCATATTGTGTGTGCCCTAAACAGTATCCTTTCAGAGCAGGAATCCATCCTCCCCAAGAGTTTCAACAGAGGATTGACTGCATCACTGGCATGCCTTTTGCTGACACTGGCAACTGACACAGCTCCAACAAGCTCTGCACATACCTGGCAGGCCAAGCTAACTAATGACCTTAACACCTGTTGCAGGCTGAGGTTATGAACCAGTGATGAGCTGTTGTAGAGCAGCTGGCTCTCCTGCTGTCACTCGCTCACGTGTCTGAGCTATTTGTTGGAAAGACTGGTCCACAGCATGACATGAGAATTTTACAACCTCCCCAGTTCCAGAGATGCACTAGGAAATAAATCCAGAAAATCTGATTAGGACTTATCACTGAAGTAAGCTCATTAATCTTTGATGTGGTTCTTTCATATGCAGTTTGCTAACTCCTGCAGGCACCAGCAGACCCATGGGTCTGAAGACTGCAGACTTTAAAAAGTTCTTCTTTATATAACAATTGCTCTGATTTTTTTTCCTCTTGAATATTTAGCACATTCTAATAAATAAGAAGAGCCACAAAGCACCAGTGAGATAATTTAGCCTAGCTTCTTACACAGACTCAGGCACAGGATTCCCCGAAATAATTCCTGTAGTCAAAAAGATAAGAAGATCTACTTCAGAAAATGTAAAATCCAGCATGAAAAACACTGTCAGCCACTTGCCTTAGTAATTTTTGCAGCAGTCAGTTACGCATACTGTTGCGTAAAAAAACAGATCACATTTCATTTCTTACCTGAACTTGTCTAGCTTTGCCTGTCAACAACAGGTTCTTTGAGTAAGAGATGAAAGTCTTCTATTATTAAATTGCCGTTTCCCCAGCCTCCCCCAAAATATTCTCAGCTAAACTAAGCCAGCTGAGCTACTGCCATCTCAAAACACAGCACATATTTCCCATGCCCCACCAAACACTGCCATCACAGTACAGCTTGTAATAATGCCAGCCATGATCACACAGGTGCCAAAACACAGGAAAAAAAGCCATGAATAACTTTCCCTGGCCTCAACCACATGAAATAATTTGGATATGTGTGGCTCCAAATTAAACCCACGGATGAAACCCTCTAATTCTGGATACAAGTGAAATTGAGAAGTAAGACTTCTCTCCAGACTTTACAGCTAATAACAAGTCAAATTGATAAAAACAAGAGAAAAAAAAAGGAGTTTTGAGGGATTTTGAAATTCTCCTTTAGTCTCCTGATGTATCTGCCTCTGAGATGTTCAAAACCTAGGACACTGGTATGAAACACAGCTCCACAAATGACACTTGCAACTTATCTTCAAGAGCAAGCAGAAAATATTAAAACATGAACTGCACAGGATTTCAAGAATCAGAAATTTCTCCCTATTTGTTTCATGTTCTCTTTCAAGAAGATTTTACATTTTGCTTCTGGTTTAGAGATTTGTTAGACATTAGATACAGGAACACAAAACGTTTGTGATTACTGCTTAATGGACATAGCTCCTCTTTAGAGCCAAAGAATTAATTTAAGATCCCTGGCATTTTCCAAATGTAATGTAAAGAAAGGATGTCTCCCCATTTTGAGCACATAGATCTCCTTCCCCACAACTTTTCTGGCAGATCAGTTGAAGAAAGTCCAACCCAATTTCACCCAGCCAGACTGAGACAGTTTGGTTCTCAGAAGCCAACACTGGTCAGGCATTCACAAAATTTTTCCCTTTCTTCTCTGGAACAGAAAGTCGACCTTATGCTACTCTTCAGTAAGCTTCAGTCTTTCCACACTGCCTCCTTGGATTAAGGCTACCTAGAAGGGCACAAGAGTGCACACCAGAGTGCCACTGCAATACACTCAAGGAAGTTCAAAGACATTTTAAAACATTAGAGATTTCTGTAAGAGGAAAGGCAGTGACTAAAACAGCCTATCACTTTTACTGGCTCATGGATTAACTAAAATAGCATATGGATTTAATGAAATCATTTTTAAAAACAAAGACCTGACCTAGCAGAATGACTGGGTTTTCCTTTCATATCTACTTTCTAGGAGAGTAGGGGGTACGTCTCCTTCACCACATATAGGTTTACCATGGATATGCTTATGAATAACATGTGTTATTCATAGTGAGTCATTGGTGCTAAGTTACATCTAAAACTGTCCTGTTTCCAATGCAGCAGGCCTGAATTGAGCTACACACGCATGGAGCATTCAGTTCTGGTTCTCTTTACAGGGACAGAGACCTGCTAATGATATGTACCCAAGTGAGTGTGCAAAACATCTTTAATCACAAAGGCATAGTGCTAAGCAATTTCCTCTTCCTTTCCCAACTACTTTAAAACTGTTTAACACGTCAAAGAATGATCTCCATTCTGTGTTGCTAAAACTCTTTGAAAGCCACTTCCCTCTAGATTAACTCCATAAGACAGCAGGTAAAATATCAGCACCAATTAGAGCTGCTCCCACATAGAACCTCAGAAGTAGGTCAGCAAAGGTGGTTTGTGTAGGATAGGCCTTGCCAGCTCCAAATTAGTGCCTTTCATTATCATTCCCATTAACTGAGCTCCAAACATCTCCTTCACAGCTTCTCTGCAACAAATGTTTGCCCTGGGTAAACTGCATCTTGGTTCTCCCAGATACCTTACTACTACGTTCATTTTTTGTTTGCTAAACTGTGTGGCCTCAGGGCCTTGTTGCATTAGATTTGGCACAAAGACATGGCCATTCCTCCAAGAGTTTGCAGTATAAATAGCACAACAAGTCATGGGTGGGAGGACAGCACCAGGACAAAGATGGTGGGTGACTTGCTGAAGGACTGGGGCATCAAACAACTCATCTGTGTCTTTGCCAATACACAGCCAGGGCATGTTCCAGATCCCACAGCCAAGTGATACACCCCTGCTAAGGGCAACCAATTTGGATAAGGTCCAAAGTCTCCATGGAACATTTGACAGAAACATGTCTCTGCCAGCCAAGAGAGATGGAGGCAAAAAGGTAGAACTGCAGCTCAAGGCTTGAGCCCTATGCTAAACTCAGGCCAGCAGATTGATTTTCTTGTACACTGTTCACACTACCTGCACACCAGGACACTGGTGTTTGCAAGATCATATGGGATGGACTACTCAAGAGTGAGTGAAAGCTGTGAGCTCTGTAGTTAGGAATTCTTCCTAGGACTGAAGCAACAAGAGGAAAATCAAAACCGTCTTCTGATCACTTGACAACCGGTCAAACCCTTGTTCTGTGAGCCCTCCCTTAGGCACCAGAGATTGCCACCCCATCATCATTTGTTGAGGGTCCTGATAGTGCTGTTTGTACTCTGTCACTGAATTTCCCCATAAGCAAGTCCTACAAATGCCCACAGTAAAACGGCTTTTAACATGCTTGCAGCCAAGAAGCACATTCCCAAAGAGGTCCTTTATCTTGAGCAGTCACTTTCCCACCCTGCCACAAAGTCTGCAGACCTCGGGTGCATAGAAGCTACACTTAGAATTGTACTCACCCAATCCATATTATTCAATCCTGTCAGAGATGAAATAGCTGGGTTTATGCTGGTATCCACGGCTGCTGCCTCTTCCCCTTGAACGGAAGGCTTCAGGAGCAAATACATCTTTAAAAAAAAAGAACGTGGAGACATGCATTAGTGTTACATGCTTTCAAATGCATGTTCGTTCAGCATTCTGCACATCAGGACAACCTCAAGGATGCACACAAGTACTGGTTATGAAAGCACAAATCTGGAAATCCGGAAGACGCTTACACAGAGTATACAAACCTCAGCATTGCCCTACTTTGAAGCCTAATGCCCTCACAGCTTCCTCAATGAGGTGTCCCTCTGCACAGGAAAAAAAGGTGGCTGTGACCTGAGCAAACTGCCAGTCTTCCATATTTTCTTCTCCTTCAGACAGATCACTTTCAGGTGACCCAAACAGATGATCCAAAAGGCAAACTAACACATGCCAGAACAGTCCAGCATGGCAGAAATGCTTACCTTCTCTGTGAATGCTGCCTCTCCTGTTGGGGTTCATTATTGGCATATGCATCATCTGTAAATTAAAGAAGTTTCTTTAAAAAGCTCATCTGTCAAGAAGTCCACCTCTCCTTCATTTCCTCAGGTACTGTGTGACCACTGCAGTAATTCCAAACCTCATTATCAATTTTTCTGAAAACAAGATTACTGCTGATACTATTGCAAAGCAGTGATGCTGCTAAGGAAGTCTGCAGTTGCAGGTAGGCTCTCATGTCAACATCTTTTGTACTTAATACATTACCTGACCTTACTGTAGTGCATATACAGCCAGGAGAGCAAAGCCTGGAGAGCAGTCTGTTGCAGTCGCACAAGGGACTTCTTTGACTAATTTATCCCAAATTACTCTTTTAAAAGCTCTCTATACTCTTTTGTTGGTATCTATCCCAGTAACATGATCTCAGTCTCAGCCAATCACAATTCCTTCTCCTACCCAAATGACACCAGAACTACAGGAGCTACACCAACACCATCCACAGTGAATCAGGCTGAGATCCCTTGAACGGAGTTACAAAGACAGGAACTTTCTTCTTAATTTTCCTGTTCAAGAAAATGAAGGACTGCTGGTGAGACTCCAGACATAAGTCATAGGTCAGACTCCACCCCGCACAAAAGACAACTGCCTTAGACAGTTGATTTTGGAAGCATTGGGGCGTTTTTCTTTTGCTTTCTGGGATTCAAGGTGTTAGGTGAGTTTGAGCCATTTTTTAGGCTCCTCTCTGTGATTCAGAGCAATGAACACCATTAAGCAGATTCCAGCCTAATGGAACCTGTAATTCCACATACCTATGCACACTCAAAAAGCCTTTCATATTGTGTGTGCCCTAAACAGTATCCTTTCAGAGCAGGAATCCATCCTCCCCAAGAGTTTCAACAGAGGATTGACTGCATCACTGGCATGCCTTTTGCTGACACTGGCAACTGACACAGCTCCAACAAGCTCTGCACATACCTGGCAGGCCAAGCTAACTAATGACCTTAACACCTGTTGCAGGCTGAGGTTATGAACCAGTGATGAGCTGTTGTAGAGCAGCTGGCTCTCCTGCTGTCACTCGCTCACGTGTCTGAGCTATTTGTTGGAAAGACTGGTCCACAGCATGACATGAGAATTTTACAACCTCCCCAGTTCCAGAGATGCACTAGGAAATAAATCCAGAAAATCTGATTAGGACTTATCACTGAAGTAAGCTCATTAATCTTTGATGTGGTTCTTTCATATGCAGTTTGCTAACTCCTGCAGGCACCAGCAGACCCATGGGTCTGAAGACTGCAGACTTTAAAAAGTTCTTCTTTATATAACAATTGCTCTGATTTTTTTTCCTCTTGAATATTTAGCACATTCTAATAAATAAGAAGAGCCACAAAGCACCAGTGAGATAATTTAGCCTAGCTTCTTACACAGACTCAGGCACAGGATTCCCCGAAATAATTCCTGTAGTCAAAAAGATAAGAAGATCTACTTCAGAAAATGTAAAATCCAGCATGAAAAACACTGTCAGCCACTTGCCTTAGTAATTTTTGCAGCAGTCAGTTACGCATACTGTTGCGTAAAAAAACAGATCACATTTCATTTCTTACCTGAACTTGTCTAGCTTTGCCTGTCAACAACAGGTTCTTTGAGTAAGAGATGAAAGTCTTCTATTATTAAATTGCCGTTTCCCCAGCCTCCCCCAAAATATTCTCAGCTAAACTAAGCCAGCTGAGCTACTGCCATCTCAAAACACAGCACATATTTCCCATGCCCCACCAAACACTGCCATCACAGTACAGCTTGTAATAATGCCAGCCATGATCACACAGGTGCCAAAACACAGGAAAAAAAGCCATGAATAACTTTCCCTGGCCTCAACCACATGAAATAATTTGGATATGTGTGGCTCCAAATTAAACCCACGGATGAAACCCTCTAATTCTGGATACAAGTGAAATTGAGAAGTAAGACTTCTCTCCAGACTTTACAGCTAATAACAAGTCAAATTAATAAAAACAAGAGAAAAAAAAGGAGTTTTGAGGGATTTTGAAATTCTCCTTTAGTCTCCTGATGTATCTGCCTCTGAGATGTCCAAAACCTAGGACACTGGTATGAAACACAGCTCCACAAATGACACTTGCAACTTATCTTCAAGAGCAAGCAGAAAATATTAAAACATGAACTGCACAGGATTTCAAGAATCAGAAATTTCTCCCTATTTGTTTCATGTTCTCTTTCAAGAAGATTTTACATTTTGCTTCTGGTTTAGAGATTTGTTAGACATTAGATACAGGAACACAAAACGTTTGTGATTACTGCTTAATGGACATAGCTCCTCTTTAGAGCCAAAGAATTAATTTAAGATCCCTGGCATTTTCCAAATGTAATGTAAAGAAAGGATGTCTCCCCATTTTGAGCACATAGATCTCCTTCCCCACAACTTTTCTGGCAGATCAGTTGAAGAAAGTCCAACCCAATTTCACCCAGCCAGACTGAGACAGTTTGGTTCTCAGAAGCCAACACTGGTCAGGCATTCACAAAATTTTTCCCTTTCTTCTCTGGAACAGAAAGTCGACCTTATGCTACTCTTCAGTAAGCTTCAGTCTTTCCACACTGCCTCCTTGGATTAAGGCTACCTAGAAGGGCACAAGAGTGCACACCAGAGTGCCACTGCAATACACTCAAGGAAGTTCAAAGACATTTTAAAACATTAGAGATTTCTGTAAGAGGAAAGGCAGTGACTAAAACAGCCTATCACTTTTACTGGCTCATGGATTAACTAAAATAGCATATGGATTTAATGAAATCATTTTTAAAAACAAAGACCTGACCTAGCAGAATGACTGGGTTTTCCTTTCATATCTACTTTCTAGGAGAGTAGGGGGTACGTCTCCTTCACCACATATAGGTTTACCATGGATATGCTTATGAATAACATGTGTTATTCATAGTGAGTCATTGGTGCTAAGTTACATCTAAAACTGTCCTGTTTCCAATGCAGCAGGCCTGAATTGAGCTACACACGCATGGAGCATTCAGTTCTGGTTCTCTTTACAGGGACAGAGACCTGCTAATGATATGTACCCAAGTGAGTGTGCAAAACATCTTTAATCACAAAGGCATAGTGCTAAGCAATTTCCTCTTCCTTTCCCAACTACTTTAAAACTGTTTAACACGTCAAAGAATGATCTCCATTCTGTGTTGCTAAAACTCTTTGAAAGCCACTTCCCTCTAGATTAACTCCATAAGACAGCAGGTAAAATATCAGCACCAATTAGAGCTGCTCCCACATAGAACCTCAGAAGTAGGTCAGCAAAGGTGGTTTGTGTAGGATAGGCCTTGCCAGCTCCAAATTAGTGCCTTTCATTATCATTCCCATTAACTGAGCTCCAAACATCTCCTTCACAGCTTCTCTGCAACAAATGTTTGCCCTGGGTAAACTGCATCTTGGTTCTCCCAGATACCTTACTACTACGTTCATTTTTTGTTTGCTAAACTGTGTGGCCTCAGGGCCCTGTTGCATTAGATTTGGCACAAAGACATGGCCATTCCTCCAAGAGTTTGCAGTATAAATAGCACAACAAGTCATGGGTGGGAGGACAGCACCAGGACAAAGATGGTGGGTGACTTGCTGAAGGACTGGGGCATCAAACAACTCATCTGTGTCTTTGCCAATACACAGCCAGGGCATGTTCCAGATCCCACAGCCAAGTGATACACCCCTGCTAAGGGCAACCAATTTGGATAAGGTCCAAAGTCTCCATGGAACATTTGACAGAAACATGTCTCTGCCAGCCAAGAGAGATGGAGGCAAAAAGGTAGAACTGCAGCTCAAGGCTTGAGCCCTATGCTAAACTCAGGCCAGCAGATTGATTTTCTTGTACACTGTTCACACTACCTGCACACCAGGACACTGGTGTTTGCAAGATCATATGGGATGGACTACTCAAGAGTGAGTGAAAGCTGTGAGCTCTGTAGTTAGGAATTCTTCCTAGGACTGAAGCAACAAGAGGAAAATCAAAACCGTCTTCTGATCACTTGACAACCGGTCAAACCCTTGTTCTGTGAGCCCTCCCTTAGGCACCAGAGATTGCCACCCCATCATCATTTGTTGAGGGTCCTGATAGTGCTGTTTGTACTCTGTCACTGAATTTCCCCATAAGCAAGTCCTACAAATGCCCACAGTAAAACGGCTTTTAACATGCTTGCAGCCAAGAAGCACATTCCCAAAGAGGTCCTTTATCTTGAGCAGTCACTTTCCCACCCTGCCACAAAGTCTGCAGACCTCGGGTGCATAGAAGCTACACTTAGAATTGTACTCACCCAATCCATATTATTCAATCCTGTCAGAGATGAAATAGCTGGGTTTATGCTGGTATCCACGGCTGCTGCCTCTTCCCCTTGAACGGAAGGCTTCAGGAGCAAATACATCTTTAAAAAAAAAGAACGTGGAGACATGCATTAGTGTTACATGCTTTCAAATGCATGTTCGTTCAGCATTCTGCACATCAGGACAACCTCAAGGATGCACACAAGTACTGGTTATGAAAGCACAAATCTGGAAATCCGGAAGACGCTTACACAGAGTATACAAACCTCAGCATTGCCCTACTTTGAAGCCTAATGCCCTCACAGCTTCCTCAATGAGGTGTCCCTCTGCACAGGAAAAAAAGGTGGCTGTGACCTGAGCAAACTGCCAGTCTTCCATATTTTCTTCTCCTTCAGACAGATCACTTTCAGGTGACCCAAACAGATGATCCAAAAGGCAAACTAACACATGCCAGAACAGTCCAGCATGGCAGAAATGCTTACCTTCTCTGTGAATGCTGCCTCTCCTGTTGGGGTTCATTATTGGCATATGCATCATCTGTAAATTAAAGAAGTTTCTTTAAAAAGCTCATCTGTCAAGAAGTCCACCTCTCCTTCATTTCCTCAGGTACTGTGTGACCACTGCAGTAATTCCAAACCTCATTATCAATTTTTCTGAAAACAAGATTACTGCTGATACTATTGCAAAGCAGTGATGCTGCTAAGGAAGTCTGCAGTTGCAGGTAGGCTCTCATGTCAACATCTTTTGTACTTAATACATTACCTGACCTTACTGTAGTGCATATACAGCCAGGAGAGCAAAGCCTGGAGAGCAGTCTGTTGCAGTCGCACAAGGGACTTCTTTGACTAATTTATCCCAAATTACTCTTTTAAAAGCTCTCTATACTCTTTTGTTGGTATCTATCCCAGTAACATGATCTCAGTCTCAGCCAATCACAATTCCTTCTCCTACCCAAATGACACCAGAACTACAGGAGCTACACCAACACCATCCACAGTGAATCAGGCTGAGATCCCTTGAACGGAGTTACAGCTCTAGAGCAATGCACTTTCTGCAGCCCTCCACAGAAAGAAATACTTTCCTTTTCTGGTGCAATAATTCTCTTTGGGATTTTTTCTGTATTAAAATTTGTCATGATTTAACCCCAGCCGGCAACTAAGCATCACACAGCCGCTCTCTCACTCACTCCCCCCGAGTTGGGTGGGGGAGAGAATCAGAAGGGTAAAAGTGAGAAAACTCGTGGGTTGAGATAAAGACAGTTTAATAAGAAAAGCAAAAACAGCACACACAAGCAAAGCAAAGCAAGGAATTCATAGAATCATAGAATTGTTTAGGTTGGAAAAGACATTTAAGATCACCGAGTCCAACCGTTAACCTAGCACCACCAAGTCCACCACTAATCCATGTCCCTCAACACCACACCTACACATCTTTTAGATACCTCCAGGGATGGTGACTCAACCACTTCCCTGGGAAGCCTGTTCCAATGCTTGACAACGCTTTCTGTGAAGGATTTTTTCCTAACATCCAATCTATGCCTCCCCTGGTGCAACTTGAGGCCATTTCCTCTTATCCTATCGTTTATTACTTGGGAGAAGAGACCGACCCCCACCGCATTACAACCTTCTTTCAGGTAGTTGTAAAGAGCAATAACATCTCCCCTCAGCCTCCTTTTCTCCACGCTAAACAACCCCAGTTGCCTCAGCTGCTCTTCATAAAACTTGTTCTCTAGACCCTTCACCAGCTTCATTGCCCTTCCCTGGACACACACCAGAACCTCAATGGCATCCACTAAGTGGATCACCTTGTCATAGAAGGAGATCAGGTTAGTCAAGCAGGACCTGCCTTTCATAAAACCATGCTGACCGGGCCTGATCACCTGTTTGTCCTGTATGTGCCTATATCTGATGGTGTTCAAAATGATCTGATCCATAATATCACCTGGCATCGAGGTCAGACTGATAGGCCTGTAGTTCCCTGGATCTTCCTTCTAGCCCTTCTTGTAGATGGACGTCACATTTGTTAACCTCCAGTCAACTGGGACCTCCCCAGTTAGCCAGGACTGCTGATAAATGATGGAAAGTGGCTCAATGAGCACTTCCACCAGCTCCCTCAGTACCCCCATCTGGCCGCATAGACTTGTGTCTGTCTAAGTGGTGTAGCAGGTCACTAACCATTTCCCCTTGGATTATGGGGGCTTCATTCTGCTCCCCGTCCCTGTCTTCCAGCTCAAGGGAGCAACAACTGGTCTTACTATTAAAGACTGAGGCAAAGAAGGCATTAAGTACCTCAGCCTTTTCCTCACACTTTGTCACTATGTTTCCCCCAGCATCCAATAAAGGATGGAGATTCTCCTTAGCCCTCCTTTTGTTGTTAATGTATTTATAGAAACATTTTTTATCATCTTCTACAGCAGTAGCCAGATTAAGTTCTAGTTGGGCTTTGGCCCTTCTAATTATCTCCCTGCACAACCTCATGACCCCCTTGTATTCCTCCTGAGTTGTGTGCCCCTTCTTCCAAATGTCATAAACTCTTTTTTTAACCCTGAGTTCCAGCTAAAGCTCTCTGTTCAGCCAGGCCAGCCTTCTTACCTGCCAGCTCATCTTTTGGCACACAGAGACAGCCTGTTCCTGCGCTTCAAGGATCACCTTCTATTCATTCATTCTTCATTCACTACTTCCCATTGGCAGGGCGGTGTTCAGCGATCTCCAGGAAATCAGGACTCCATCATGTGTAACAGTTATTCGGGAAGACAAACGCCTTAACTCCAAACATCCCCCCCTTCCTTCTTCTTCCCCCAGCTTTATATACCTCACATGGTATGGAATATCCCTTTGGACGGTTGGGATCAGCTGTCCCAGCTGTGTCTCCTCCTGACTTTTTGTGCACTCCCAGCCTAATTCAGCCATAGCAGTATGAGGAGCAGAAAAGGTCTTGACTCTGTATAATCACTGCTCAGGATTAACTAAAACATCCTGGTGTTATCAACACTATTTCCAACACAAATCCAAAACATAGCCCCATACGTGCTACTATGAAGAAAATTAACTCTACCCTAGCCAAAACCAGTACAACATTGCAGGAAATACATTCCCCAGCAAGAATAGCAGCGGCAGTACTGAATTTTAAGTTATGGTTAAAGAAGACTTGCAGGAAGATGTCTGCTTTTAAAAGCAAATCTTTATACTGAGGGCCCTATTAAACAAGTTACACTCAATCCACAGAGGACAGACTGAACATCCAAAACTATGTTATATATTTCAGTACTTCCCATGCAGTCTTTCTGCTCTGTAAATCAAGACTTCCTGTGATGCATTCACTAGCTAGCTCTGAACAGAGATTCTGAACAAAAAAAACCAAAACCCTTAATAAAGTTACAAGCTAATTTGGCAATTCAAACCAAGGGAAGGTTACACAGAATCCTGTTTGCTTCAAGCTATTCATTTAGTCACTTGCGCTTTCCAAAAATAAAAGCTGTCCATATCCTCTGGCACCTTGCTTGTGATACTGTCTTTGTTCCCTGAATATAATCCTCAAGCACAACAGCCACTGTAGATCTGTGTTGTAAATGCAGGTACCCAGGTTCAAGCGTCAGTTCATGGAAAAAGTGGACACTACCATGATTTGAAAACAGCTAGCAGGAATTCTCAGGTTGGGTCAGCATTTAGTCACACCTTAAAAACCAAATAAGAGCTCAAAAAAGGGAATACAAATCTCAGGCGAGCAAATGTCCCTCAGCTATGCTGTGACTACATGCTCAGCTGAGAGTTGGGTTTGGTAACAGAGCAAGAGTCGTCAGTATTTGTTTCTGTCTGAGATGTGCCAATCACTGTTCTCCAAGCACATACTCTATGTGTCAATGAAGAAAGCGTGTCAGAGTGGATGTGCCAGACTGCCGCAGAGATTCACATTCTCCCCCAGCATCCATCAAGAGAGGTCAAACCTCTCAGCTGATGGAAAGTGAAGCATTACAGGAGACAGCTGGATTTCAAATTGTGTTCAGTTTTATGATTAAAACCTCCAACTGCAACAGGAGTTGCAGTTCACACATATGTACCTGACTTCTCCTTAAAAGAGGATGAGCAGAATTTTTGATCCTCCAGGCAGCAGAAATCAGTTTTCCCCTTCCTTACCTCCTCGCTGCTCATTGATTCGGAGCTGGATGTGCCACGATGGCACTGCACAATAATGTTCGAGATCAGCTCACCGGAGACTTCCACAACACTTCTGCAGAAAGTGGTTGGCTGTAACAGATCAAAATAGAGTAAATCTCACAGAGCAAAGCTACAGTGCAAACACTCTCATGGGAATTTCACTGGGGAGAGGGAACCTGTACAGGGATTTAAAAAAAATAAATAAAATCAAAGAAAGCAAGACTACATACCTAACAAATTATTGGAGCAGGCTGTGGCCAGACCAATATATTCTGGCAGCATATAACTACACACAAGTTATTGCTCCACAATTGCACATTAGCTGTATGAATTCTTGAGCCTGCTAGAGGCAGAAGAAAATCTCCAAATGCTTCTCATGGCTCTGGAATCACCAATCACAAACAGAAGAGTTGTGCAGGGCTATGCTGATGGCAGCTCCAGCTCTAGAAGTTAAACTACCTTTAAAGACGTTATCTCGATGACTTGTCAGAAGCTCCGGCAAAACCTGCCTCCCAAGTTTGGAAAACAGAGATCCTCACACTATCTTTCATACCGTGTTGCCCCAAGAAGAAAAGAGGAGGGATGGTGTCTGTGTAGGGTACAGTGATAACTTCACAGAAGCCAACCCTTGCATTTTGAAGGAAAACCTAGCAAGAACCATAAATTCCATGTTGTCCCATCTACATGCACACACAAACTGCTTAGCTCAAGTACTGATACTTGAAGAGATGTTTACCCCCCTCTTCATGGGGTAAACTACCTCCTGAGGTAGTAGTATGACTCATAAGCTATGAGGAAAGCCTTTGTGCCATGTGTTCAATGCCTTCCCAGAATCCCTCCTCTTCCCTAAAATCTGTGCCCAGGAAGTACAGATAAGTTTGGCAGCATTCACAGAGGAAAAAGAGGCGAGAAGAGCTCAGCTTGGAGCAGCACAGAGAAGCAGAGATAATCTCTGTGGAGGTCTGACACGCAGTATGGTATCATTGCACAGAGACTTAAGAGCTACTCCACATGCCTTGTAAGATTTGTGCAAGCAGTTAGGGCACAACCACTTAGAAGCTTGCAATAGGAGCCATGTTTTGGCAAAAATAATTGTGCACAGAGAAATCCAGATTCAAAGATGATGTATTTACACCAAAGCTGGTCATCTAAGAATTAGAGCGCAGCAAGAGCTATATCAAGAGCCTGATCCATGTGTATTTCAGGCTGAAAAGAAAGTTGAAAATCTGAAAAAGATTAGCACTGTCATCACAGAGTGGGAATCTGCACTGCATAGGAAAATACACCTTTATATAGTGCCTAGGTGCATGGCAGGTCAAACAACAGTTTTTTCACACTCTTCTCTTAGAAAAGAAGCCACACTTTCCTTCCAGGATTTGGTCCAAATGCACACAGACACTTTTGCTACATGCTGCTCTGAGATGCGCCTGTCCTTTTCAGTTCACAGCAGTTCCTGTATTGCCCACTGACGAGGCAGAAGAACTGGCCCTTCCCACCTAGCACCCACTCCATGCTGTAGGTTGTACTTGTTTGGGTTTGGTTTTGTTTTCAGAAGCGCCAATCCTTCTTCAGCACCAATAGTGTTTCAACATGTCCTGAGAACATCCTGCACAGTGGGGGGGGTTCACATTCACACTAGACACACTTACCACAAAAGGCCCTATTTTGAAGTCACATGTGAAGGGATCTCTCCCTGAAGCTTTCGTGCACACTGTTTCACGAATGCTGAACTGTAGCTCTAGTCTATAAGTGTCACCGTTCCACATGTCAACCTGGTAAACAGAAGATCAACACAACGTACAATTAGTGCCTGTCATTCTTCTATGCCCACTACATGGCAACCTTGCTTCTTTGTCAAGCAGAAGCAAGACATAAGGGCATTATGGGTCAGCAACAATTTAGAGCAGATTACTGTGTGTGAGAAAGGCTGTTTTATTGTGCTCAGGAGTTACTCTCTCAGGCAGATTTGGTAACAGCAACACAGAACAGCTTCCCACTGGGGTTTCACTTGAAACCCTACAGCCATTGTGGGATCCTCCTACTGCTCAGAGTTGTTTGGGATGGACTATAGCTGTCAAAGGTAGATCAGCATAGCATTACCCCTGCATGCTCCTCCCTCTTCTGTGGGAACCAGGGTGCTAACAGCTCTGCTTTGGATATCTAGACTGCTGTGAAGTCTATTGCAAATACATGACTTGGAAAGTAAATCACACAACTGCAAGCAATTGAATTAATGCAGTTTATAGAGTCACTCCTTGTCAGCTCAGGTACTTCAATGGGCAGTGTGTGTGCAACACTGCAAGCTTTAGAGAGTTTGATTCCTTTTGTTGACATATTAGGATTTTCTCCTTCTCAGTCTAATCAATGTTTTAGCTCAAGATGGAAGACTAAAAAAAAACCAACACAACCCACCAAAAAACCCCCACCAACAAACAACAAATCCCCACTGCTTTCAAGTACTCTTTTTTTCCCAAACTAGATCAATCCAAAAGTCAACTTGTCCTTTATTCTCGCAGAAGACATGATACATGCAATCTACAGAAATATAACAGTTCTGAGGATGTTCAGAAACATGGGCATGCTAACTTTAAATTAGGAAGCTTTAACTCCTTAACTCTGGGTATCCAATATAATTCTTAGCAACACAAATTAAAACAGATATGGGTTTCCTGCCTGCATTTAGATGCTAGAAGATTTAAACCAGAATTGGTGTGTAGAGACAGATGACATAAATACAGATTGGAGAAAGAATCCTGAATATGTCTGTGGTGGCATTTAAGCAGTAGTGTGGACATTCAGCTGAGCCCTTCAGATGAATGAGGTTACTTTATGCACAAAGCATATTTAAAAATACCAGTTCTGAACAAAATGTTACAAGACATCACTCAAACATTTCTATTCTAGGTGTGGAAAATTTGAACTCCTGAAGTATTTTTAATTACAAACCAACATACAAAGAATATTTAGTTTCCTAAAGCCATAACTTCAGATACTGCACCAAACCCACCCTCTTCCAAGCAGCGTCAGAAAACTCCAACTAAATCTGGGTTTCCAGGGTTGGGTGAAAAAGAGTTTTCCATCACAGTAAAGCATATTTCAGGTAAAGGATCTCTGTCATCTGTGCACTTACTCTTGTGACATGGCTCCTGACAACACCATACAGGTTTGGCCCCCATGACTGAGAATTGATCCTTGCAATGGAAGCATTGAGAGCCTCTTCTGTGACAGGGAGTTCATAGTCGTACACTTGAAACCCTGAGACAGAGGCACAGTTCCATTAGAAGTTCATTGTGGTCTTGTACTTTTTCTCCCAAAATTACCGTAAGAAAGAGGATGTGGCTCCATTCTGAGCAACTTACCTGAACATGAGAAAACACTCAGTGTGAGGACAAAAATTAGGATCCTCATAGCGTGCCTTTCAAAATCCTCTGGTTTTTTCCCTTTCTAAGCAAGGATTTCCAGTGCATATTCCTCTGTCTTTATATAAATGCAGCCTTGATCCTACACCTGACCTTCCTGTGCCCAAGCTCTGCTACAAACATTGCACTTTAAACAGAATTGATCTGCGGGTAAATATTTGCTGTCAGCTTTCCTCCATTTAGCAGTAGTTCTCAGATAAGAGATGAGCTGCAGTGCCTTTTTCCCAGTACTGTGACTAAAAGGGAGCACTGAATTCCTGATATCTCCACAGCCAAAGGCAGAATCTGATTATTTTGTTCATTTTTAGCCATTAGTTATCCATTTAAAGCTGGTGAGTCAACTCATTCCTTAGCACCAGACCCAGCACCTTTGTGTCTCGGCAGCAACTGACAGCGCTTACAAGCTGGCATTCCCCAAGGAAGGGATGATTCCCCAGCATGGAATGGGAACCCACCCACATGGACCTGTCCGACACCATCACCCTGCAGGCCAAAGCATCCAACAGAAGCCTCCCAGGCACACGGCTGACCTTTGGGACACCCCAAGTCTGTTTGCCGTGCAAGCTCCTGGGACCTCCGTTATTTGGTATGTGCCAGAAGAGCTCCCACATTGCTTTGACTCTTGCCCAGCTAACCACACAAGCAAGTGACTGTGGATATTTGGTTTCCCCTGTCAGATCCCCCTGATGCTCAGACTTCAGTTTCAGCACAGAAATTAATGGGCTTTTTTGAAAAATTATGGCCTGACTTCAGTACTGAAAACACCATAAGGAATTACAGGGATGAGCTAGACACGAGGTCTCAGCGCTTAGCTAAATGAAGCCACTTGCTAGCCTTGGTTTCCAGATACAGGCAATGTATCTTATCTCTCTACCACAACTACCTCACAACAGAGCCACTGAAACACTTCTAGCAAGATTTAAAGATGCACCTGGGTTTTAAGTGCTTCAAGGCTGTCCATGGCAGTTGGGAGGGAAACTGCCACCTTCAAACAAGTTCACCCATTGCTGACTGTTCACAAGGTAGAGATGTGTCTAACCATTTTCATTTTGAGGATCCTGTGTGTGAAATTCCTCCATTAAACTTCAAATCACAGTTCCACTTGAATTATGTGGCACAGGATCATTTTTAGAAATCCCCAAATGACAAGCACTCAAGGAAAGATATGGGAGCATGCAAAGTACCAGGGCTCAGATTTAATAAGGAGAAGGATAAAGTTGCTTCTGGTTGCTGGGTTGTCAGATTGCAGGATGGCAGCTGATCACAAGGTTGCATACTGGGGGGATCTGACTCCTTGGGTGACAGGTGGAGTCAAGTAAGTATCACTCACACTGCAAGTACTTTGAGGCAAAGACCCATAAAGGCAACGCACTTCTAAGATACAATGGAAACAACTGCCAAGGTGTGGGCATTCATGGTCACTGGATTCATCCCCCATTGTTGCTGTGAGATCCTAGAAAAGGAACACATTGAGCCATGGTACACCCCAGAAAAGAGTTTGTGTGCCAGTTAGAGCTGCACACGAGCACAGAGACTGTGCGAGGAACAAGCCATGCCTAGGGGGGACAGGAAGACACAGAGCCAAACAGAAATCTTGTTGGGGCCACATTACTGGCTAGTGCCACACCACGTGTGTGCCATCCACCCAAGGGATGGCTATGAGAGGGGTGGCTATGAGTGCATATTCCAAAAATGGGTGGGCGTTTTTTCCAAGCCAACTTGGATTTCAGCATTGGGAACATGATCAAAAATGCCGATTGAAACTTTGCCCAGTCAAAAGCCAGAGCCTCTACTGGACATTCACTCTCCTTTTTCACTGAAGCTGAAGATGCTCTCTACCAGCTCTTGGACACTCATCTGCAGGAAGGTCTGCCCTTCTCGCTTCCCAGTTCTCCTTAACTACTGCCTGTCCTACAGGGAGGCTGGCAATATTCTTCTGAGGCTACAGCAATGCCAGAGCACCACAATGCAGAGGATTTAAACTGAGTTGGAGATTCTCAAGAACAGAGTCTGTTGGACTATGCCCAACTTTTCTGCAACCAGAGCCAAGACCACGTTCCCTCAGATCAATGAGGAAACCTTCTGATACACTGTCTGACCCGCTTCCACAGTGGTTTCTCTGCAATCAGTCATGCTGCTGCTGTGGTAATGAAACACAAGAATGAGACAGCTCAAACCACTTGAATGGAAAAAACTTGACGTTCAGAGGCCCAAGGTCCTTAATGTTTTCCAGTATGCTTCACCATCAACTTGCTGTGGTAGTTTGGATAACACTAGCTTTCAACTTCATCCCTAGAAAAGGAACCTTCTGCCTCTTGCATGCGGGGAACAGTTAATGTTCCACCAGAACCTGAATATGTAAAATTTCTTCCTAACCAAAGCCGAGCTACAGCGTTGCAGCCAGTCCAGTAGTAATTTTAACTACTGAACAGGGTTTAAAGATTTTCCTCTTAGAATAGCTACGAGGAAATATTGCCAGCAGGATCATAGTAATGCTGAGTAGGGCTTGAAAATAAAATTGTTTAATGAAACGAAAGTTTCTCTGCAGAGCTCTGGCTTTGCTTTGCGGCATCCAGAGAACAGAGATGTTTGCTATTCCACTTCTCTGAATACTGGCCCATTAACTCTGTAATGAACTCGGTAAATATTTCTCCTATCTCTCCACAGATACATTATACACTCCAGTAGATTCATGTTACAGTAAAATTGGTTTCATTCACTGTACATGTCAGAGGTGCGTTTGGGTTGAGGATGCTCAACCCAAACAGAGACAGGACCTGGGGAAGAGGTAGAAACTGTGAAGAAAACAGGCTCACACATGTGCTGGCAGGAGGGAAGGCAAGTCTGAGCAGGGCACAGCATTGTAGTGCTAACGGGTCAGGCACAGTCAACAGGAGAAGGATAGGGTATTTTCCTTTGGGGCAGGTGGTTGAAAAGAAGCGTTCTTGGGAAACCTATGCTTTCAGTAGATTTAAGCAGTGAAAACAATTTTACATTTTTAGACTCGAAGTGCCCTGAGTGCTGGGTTTCTGAGGAGGTCTGACATCTCCGACCACATTCTCTCTGCACTGGAGATGACAGTAACTGAAGCATCAGGTTAGGAAACGCCACTACGTTTGTAAAGAGCAACTAGAATTCAACCTCAAATTCAATACTTTGCAGAAGACCTCTGAGGTCAAATTCCCAAACCCAAAAGGCTGTTCAGTCATTGGTATATTCAAAACAAAAATTTGTTGTTTCATCTATGCTAAGGAAACAACAGGCACAGCCACACAGACTGAGGACTACCTGCTCTTGAAAGAGCAAAGCATCCTTCACTTCCTCTAGAGACCAACTGCTGGCATTTGCTGGTTAAGGACCTTGCCACAAATTGCTAGGTACTACAAGCCATTATGGTGAGTGGTGCCACGGCACATGGAGAAGTGACGAAAGGTGAAGCCTTTGCCTCAAGCCAAAAACAGGGCAGAACAAAATGAAGAAGGTGTGAAAAATGAGACAATAAGTGTTTCTGACATGTCACATGGTGCCCTACTGCTGCTGCCTTCAACATCCCCAGAAATTACACAGGCTTTCATAGGAAGACAATCCAGACACCACACAGCACTGGGGAGAAGCCAGATTTAGTCTACAGCTTTATGAAGGCTTCTTTTTGCAGGGGCAGCAACGGAGCTCACAATATCTCTGATCAGGATAACATTTTTTTCCCCTAATTAACCAGACTTTTGAGAAAACTTTTAGACAGGGCTTGCAGAGGAGACAGAAATAGCCTATAGGCACACACATATGCATCTTTTTAGAAAGGACAAATCTTATAGTTAAACCCCGCAAAATGCAAAACTTCTTGAAACTTGAGAGGGAGCAAGATGGAGAAAGACTCTTCACAATTTAAGGACTAAACAAAACTACCAGCAAGTTCCAGATGCCAAGCACCTTGGGACGGAGGGAAGGAGTTGCATCCAATTTAATCCACACAGCAAACAGATATGCGCCATTTAAGAAAAGAGGAAATTAAAGAGCTTCTGTTAGATGACTATTTTCAGACCACTTTCACTCCCAGCAATCAAGTCAGCTCTGTTCCTAGACAACTGGGAGAACAGTAATTTCTCTTTGTGAGTGAAATTTTGATAATTACAAGATGCATTTTCATTTAAAATGTAAATCATCCATCATCATCACATGTCTGTACTCTGAAAACAGTCTAAACAGCATCTCAGGCACTGAGGAGCTATTCCTGATCCCTTGTTTCCTGGACAATCAGATGACAGATGAAAGTTAATAAAGTCCCTTCATATAAAAGAAAACCCAACTAAATTCAAAATAATATGTTCTTGTTTTTCCCCCAGCTCTCATAGCATGGCATTGGCAAAACCAAAAGGCTCCCTAAAAATTCTTCTCTGTGGGTAACTTCTTCCTTACACATGCAGAAGGCTAAAAGTTGTGTTGACATCAGCTGATAGAGGTAGGAGCAAGGCTTCTAGATTTTGCTCAGACTGACACAGGTTGAGACTTGACCTATAGCTCATAGACACCAATGGAGACTCAGCTCCAATCCTCTTCAGATCGTGTCTGCATGTCCCTTGAGAAACTAGCATTCAATCATAAAGCCAGTGCAGACACTGCCCATGGGCTGCTGAACGTTCTCCAGCCCTCAACCACCTGGGGCGTAGAATAAGTCTTTGTTTTTCCATTTCCTCTAATTGCTGTCATAAGATGGTAGTCTGCTATTCTGGCTGCATTTCTCAACCCCACATAGAGCTTTCTGCTGTAAAGCACTTGAAGACTTGGTCGTCAAAACGAGAATAAAGTGAAGACAAGTGAATATAGTGACACCTCAGCTTCCCACACCTACAATATTAAGGATGAAACCAGATGCATATCACAATTCTGGAGTTTGTACCATGGCAGTTTCATAGTCTGCAAGGTTTGCTGATGCTCCAGGAGAACTCACTGAGGTGTTCTATGCCAAGACTGAAAACCAATGGAACTCAT